GCTAAATTACAATTTGTCTTCAATTGATTCGTTCTTACTTTGTTATCGTATAAAAATGTATTCAGATTTCTGATGTAGTCTTCCGTTAACTGAAGTTCAACAATCACATGTCATAAATAGAATAATTTTTTATTTATAATACAAAATCAGCATATACATTACAATGATTTCTGAAACAAATTTTTAGTTGAAAAACACTGCGTGAGTCATCTTAAAGTCAGTATCGTCCAAGGATGGGTGGACTCTTGACAGACATTTGAAAAAGTGTACTTAACTCTTTGGATAATGATACTTTGACAATATTTTTTTGACAACATTTTAACATCATTTACGTGTCATTCTGTGATTGATCCATGTTGGTGTTTATAATTATTATTATTGATTGTGGAGTAATTTTGGACCAATCACAAAATGACACGTAGATGATGTTAAAATATTGTTAAAATGATATTGTCAAAGTATCATTATGCTAACTCTTTTATGCAAATAGACACCTTCAATTTGAGTTCTGATCTGATTAATCCTTGAAATTTACTCTCTTTGCAAACAAATTTCTTAAATTTTGATTTTTTCCCCAATTAATCCTTTAGTTATATTTGTTTCTGTGCATAAACATCAATTTTAGTTTCATCTCAAATCTTTTTTGAAACTAAGTGACTTATATTAAAAGGACAGGCAAAAAGCCAAGCACAAGGTGTAACTAAGAGCCTGTAAAACAGAAATACAACCAAATTAGGAGATGCAAAAAACAATTCTGCCACTCGGTACAGCAGAAATTATCTTAAGTGTGTACAATATATATTCCACCAGCTAATCAATCAAGAAAAATTAATACATATATTCTACTGGATATAGGTGCCCTACGTTTAATGTTATGCATCCCATATATTGGTGTGATTTCAAGTGCTTCCTTGAACTCTTGTGTGTTAAATTCCAAAATCTTAGCAGACGTTAGAACCACCACTGCAGTTCAAATCTGAATGTATTAAATATATCACCAACTACCTTCCAGATATCACGAGCAATTTAAATAAATATTAACTAATATTAAGGTTATGCAGAACCTCAATTACAACTTCCACTCCTATTCAACTGTCATATCCACCATAAGAAGTTTGTGAATAAACTACTTAAAGATGCTGTGTACTTAAAGATACGCATCTATATACTTAAAGATCCTCATCTCAATTAATTCCGTAAAAACTTACCCTTTAGTAAGTAGTCTCTTGTACTAATTATTAAAGAGATAAACTACTAACAAAGAAGAAATCCTAACAATTGATTTATTTAAAACCTCTGTCATTTATTATTGATAATTTATAAATCATTTCCCAACATTAAAATATAATAAAATTAAAAATTAAAAATCCAATTGGACTTTTTTATTGTTTCTATTTTTTCTAAATTTATACTTGTTTACTTTTATTCATAAAAAATGGATTGTAACAAAAAAGAAAAAGATAACGATTAATGAATGATTATTCCACATAAAATAATTTAACTCTAATTTTATATAGGGAACTATTTGCGAAAAAGATTAATTGTATAGATGGATTAGAATGAAAATAAATTTCTAGGTGTCTATTTACTAAAGGTTTAATAGCCAATTTAGTCCCCACTTTGGTTGAAAAATCTCAATTTAGTCCCTCGTTATAAAAGTGTTTTACATTAGTCCTAACTTTTAAAATAGTGGGTCAGATTGGTCCCTTTCGTTAAATATAAGTTAACGAAATTAATGGATGATGATGTGACACAGCTTAAAGCTGATGTGTTAGATTGGTCCCTCGTTAGCTTTAAGTTGTGTCACATCATCATCCATTAATTTTGTTAACTTATATTTAACATAAAGGACCAATCTGAACCACTATTTTAAAAGTTAGGACTAATTCAAAACACTTTTATAACGAGGGACTAAATTGAGATTTTTCAACCAAAGTGAGGACTAAATTGGCTATTAAACCTTTACTAAAACATTACAAAGAAATTTGTTCATAGAGAGATCATGAGGCAAACTTCAACTTTCTCGCTTCGCAGATTTAGATGAATATAGTAAATTTTAATGTCAATGCCATATGTGGGCTTCAGTGGAATTCTCGTTAAGGCTTTACCTGGATACTGGTTTACTTGAGCCTCCACTTTTCTTGACTTCGTGTGCTATGTTTTATTGGTATTTTTTTCTGCATCCACTATTTTTTTTCTAAACCACAAGATTTTTTTTTTTGCTTTTTCCTCCATCACAGTATTTTTTTGGTTCACCTCTCACGTTCCTGAATGTAAAATATATATTCTGGAATGAATGGAAGGTGGATCAATAAATTAGTGGAGTGGAATAAGTTAAAGCCTGTGTTTATCCTCCATCGCTTTGGTCTTGCAGTGCCTCCGAGTGGAAGGTGTCCACCACTTTCATATATGGTTTCGAAGACTGGATGAATTATCAGGGTGCCCAAGAAGCTCGTAAGCATATGACGGTTCCATGCGAAATCATCAGGGTTCCTCGGGTATATCTTTTTTCACGTTTCTCCTGATGCAGAGTTATTTTTAATGAGATTAAATATGGTTTTAATCCTTTCAAATTTTGAAATGTTCACTTGTAATCCTTCAAAAAAGATCATATTATTTTATGAAAATATGTCATGCATGATAACAAAACGACTAAAATAAGAGACGAATTCCCGTCAAGAATAATCTGATGCATTTTATAAATGAGATTATGACGACATGATTTTTTTTAGAGAGATTAAAAAAGAATGTCACCCTCTATGCAAAAGGAATAAAAATATATTTAACTTTTTTATATTATTCTAACTAAAAATAATAATTACTTGTTGCAGGCCGGGCACTTTGTGTTCATTGACAACCCAACTGCCTTCCATTCAGCTGTTTTTTATGCTTGTCGAAGATTTTTTATTCCTGATCCAGACAACGAATCTCTTCCTAAAGGGTTAACCTTTGCATAGTGTAGGTCTTAGTGCCAATCCCTCCTATATGTGCACGTATAGTTTCACTGAACTAGAATTTACAGAGACCAATTTATAATTACAACTTCAACAAAAGAAAAAAAAAAAGAAACTATTTGTAGTAGAAATTTCTTTACTGAAATTTGTTCCATTCAAAGCTTCTTTACCCATTCGATAGATATATTCTGTGAAGGCAAATTTAGGACTTATTGTAATATGAGCAAATATTTTTCATGAGAGAATAAAATATCTTCTGATTTATTGGTTGACCCTCACACTCAGTGTTGAGTCGTTGCTGACTGTGGTTTATAAGTTACAACTTTTTACACTTTTTCGGTTTTTCTCCAACTCTGGTTGTAGTGAAAAGATGTCCCAATCAAGAAAGGATTGGAACTGCAGCACTGCTTTCAGGTGCGAAAACAACTATACAAGTTTAAGCAGCGACTGAGGCAGTTGTTTAACCAGTACTGGATGGATGTATTTTAAACTCCTACTGAGATGATAATTGAGTTCATTTAAATTAAAAAGAAAATGTCATAAACAATGGCTGTCACATGCTTTCCCTGTACTATTCACTCGCAACTCTGCCGTGGACTGTCATAGAAGGGAAAAGTGAAAAGGACCCATCGTTTACTGCACTAAATACGCCGAGTGACTGAGTCTGGCAGGTGCAGAAGTGCATGAGCTTTTAAATTCCGGGTTTTGGGTTGTAGGCCATCCTTCTTTCTTACATGTTGAAATGAATTTAACATCAACGCATGTTTTTGTTTTCCTTTCGACCATGCACTACAATGCAAGGCAAACCTACATCGTATTTATTTTATCACACAAACAAACAACGTAACATCTTACCGTCTTTGCCAATTCAACTGTCTGTGCCTCGGAATTGGATTCCTTTAACTGGGCCCATCAACATACATGACATAATTCGTGCCAATATATAATGGCTTCACAAAATTAGTGAGGTTGCGACAACGCACTCGGAGGGTCCACCTTCTGCGAAGAATACCTCGCAATCGAATTAGTATTTAGTCTATTTTTCACCAATATATAAGACCATGGTGACGTTAAAAATGTTACCATGGACCCCACTTAGCAGTTCTTGTCATCATTTCTATCTGGATTTGTCCTCTGCAGATATATACTTCAGAACAAAAAATAAAACTATAACCTCTTTCCCCAGCTCACTACTCAAAATAACAAAGCACACGTACATATTTAATAATGAACGATATAATTATGTTTAAAAAGTATCAGTACATGTTACAATAACAAAATACACGAAAAATTCACGCCATTTGTAACAAAAATATTAATATAATCATATTGAAACAGTTTAGATCACTTAAGTCCGTATAGCTCAAATGATTCTGTGAACCAAAGGATAATAATTCTATTCAACTTGTGATATGGTTGGAAGGCAATGAAATCAACCATGCGAGAGAAGCTCGAAAACACAAATGGTTAGTGATACCGCTCCACTAAAATGTTATCCCAAACATTTTTGGGAGCACAACGTGTATGTGCTGTTCTGACTCCTAACTCGTTACTCCATTTGATTTATTACAAAACATTCAAAACTAAAATAAAATCTTTACACTTAAGTTTTTCTTTATGAACTCTTTTCGTTCCCCAACCTTTTCGTTATAAAGTTAAAAGTTAATAAAAATAAATGTAGAATGAAAGGAAAAATCTGAAACCCGACATATTCAAACGTCTTATTCCCCTTTTTCAATGCGTCTGTCTGATCCATTTGAAGCTCCATGTCATTATAACGGTAACTTTCCTGGATGTTCCTGACTCGACACGTGGGCACATGGCTTTGTGCGACGGCCATCATGGAGCTACTTCTTTTGGCGGGAATCATTTGGTCCATCTCTCGCACAAGCAATTTCGTGGTGAGCGTAATTTGACCACATGAAAACGGCGCCGTTCGTCAAAGCCACACGAATTCTTCTTTTGGCGCAACCAACAGCAGTAATAATAACAGGACCGAGAAAAGATGATTAAAGAACTCAACCATATGGACGGACCCCTCCAAAATTTGGATAATTTAATTCAATTCAGAAAAGTAACAATACAATTTCATCAACAATAAAATAAAATAAAAAAATCAAGCAGGAGAAGGTAGTGTTGTGGGATCGGCCGATGACGGGATTTCCGGTCCGACCCGGCAACCTTGTAGCATGAAAGCAACGTCCGACATTGACGGTCGATCAAGAGGATCCGTTGCTGTGCAGAGGAGACCCACTTTCACACCCAACAAAAACTCTTCCCATTCCGATGACTCTGGGTCTAGCTCAAGCAACCCTGGCTCCAACAACTCCGATATTTGGCCCCTTTGTAACTGCTTCTTCACCCACTTCACTATGTCATCATCCTCCGTGAACATCACCGGTTTCTTCCCCGTTAGTATCTCCAACAACACTATCCCAAAGCTATAAACATCACTCTCCTTTGTCGCCACCCCACTCGATACAGCTTCTGCTGAAACATACCCCAATGTCCCTACTGGAGTCGACGACGACGATGCTTCTGCCGCTGCTGCCACTGTCAACCGCTCCAATCCAAATTCAGACAAATGGGCTTCAAAATCCGCATCAAAAAGAACATTTTGAGGCTTCACATCACCATGAACTATTGGTACCGAGTGCAAGAAAGCTAGCCCTCGAGCAATTCCCAGTGCAATGAGGTGACGCATTGGCCAATTCAGCACATGGCCATCTTGCTGAGACGCCTCTTGAAGCAGTGTGCCAAGGTTTCCATTGGGCATGTAGTCATACACAAGAAGTCTCACATCTGGTGGACCCGCATAGTAACCACGAAGAACTGTCAAGTTTCGATGCTTCACTTTGCCCAGTGATTCTGCTTCCTTGCGGAAGTTAGCCTCGTCTAAGAACCCATCAACGAAGCGACGAATGGAGAGAACCATTCCATCTTGGAAGGAGGCTTTGAACACGAGGCCATATCTTCCCCTGCTTAACACGTTCTCTTCATCGAAGTTTCTCGTTGCTTCCAATGTCTCCGCGTACGTGATCTTGTTGTTAAACATCACTAGCTTTGGTCCTCCGTTTTCACCGCTCCCTCTACTACCTGCACTTGTTGAGGGGCTCCGTTTCTTCTCACCCGTCACCCCTTCTCGAAGCTTCTTCCGCCACCTCAAGAGGCTGTAAACATACCCACAACAACACAACGCCAAAAGGCACAAGCCAGCCACTCCCACGCCTATCAACATTATTAGCCTTCTCTTCTTTCTCCTTCTCACCTTTGCACATTCCCTCTGCAAGGGCTTCCCGCACAAACCTTGGTTCATTGCAAACACGGAAGGGTTATTGAATCTGGCACCAAGCACGTATGGAATCTCACCCACAAGATTATTACTAGACACGTTTAAATACTCCAAACCAGAAATGCTTGACAGTTCAACGGGAATTTCCCCATTCAAAAGATTTGAAGAAAGGTTCAACACGGTCAAATTAGACAGTTTTGACAAGGAACCGGGAATGCGACCCGTGAAGTGATTACCATCCAACAAGAGTGAACTCAAGGCAGAACACTCAGATATCTCATCTGGGATATCACCTTTCAACCTATTGTGCCCCAAATTAAGCTCCTTTAAATGAGATAGCCGAGAGATGTCACCAGGAATGTTACCCTGTAGAAAATTTGACTGCAGCTGTAATACTTCAAGTTGCGAACAACCACCAATCTCTGGCGGTATCTCACCAGAAACACTATTGTGAGACAGAGAGAGAATAGTTAAAGAACTGAGGAACCCGTAAGTCATTGGAATGTCACCAACATATTCATTAGAGCTGAGATTAAGATATCGCAGACTAACTATGCTGCTGAACCCCTCAGGAACTTTACCACTCAAACGGTTCTCTTGAAGTGCCACAACTTGCAGACTAGGTAACCCAAAAACCTCAAGGGGCAACTCACCCGAGAGATTCTGCTTGCTCAAGTCCAGAACCGTTAGTCTCATTAAATTCCCCAACGAAGCAGGAACCCTTCCTGAAAACCCACATCGACTCAAATTAAGAACTTGCAAACCCGTCATGTCCCCAATATTTGACCAAAGTTGACCCGAAAACTCGTTATTGCTGAGATTCAATTCAGTCACGTTCTCCAGTTTCATGATCTCCTTAGGCACCACACCCGTCAACTTATTGTCACTCAAATTAAGCGTCTCTAGTGCAGAAAGTGTTCCAAAACTAGAAGGAATCGAACCGGTAAAAAGGTTACCGGCAAGAGAAAACTCCTTTAGGTTTCTCATATCCCCGAGAAATTCAGGAATTAACCCAGAGAAACGGTTCCCCTCAAGATCAAAAACCTTTAACAACCTACAATTCACAATGCTAGGCGGAATACCACCAGATAACAAATTATTTGCGACTCTAAGCTCTTCCAAAGCTAAAAAGTTACCAATATCAACAGGGAGAGAACCAGTAAAGAAATTTCCCGAGAGCTGAAGCACCTTCAACGATTTTGTAGTCCGGGTCAACCACGAGGGAAATCTTGTGGGAGCAATGTGATTTTCTTGAACATCCAAAATTTCTAAAATACTATTGCATTCTTCACTTTGAGGTGCAGAAAACCCCGTAAAGGAATTGAAACCAAGATTCAAGCTTTGTAGGTGACTGTTGCAGAAAAAGGACTTGGGAACCAAACCGGAAAGTTGATTCCCTGAAAGTGAAAGTACCTGAAGTTTTGGTATGGTTACTAACGTAAGAGGAAGAAGTCCGGTCAGAACATTGTCCTCTGCACTAAGGTGAACTAGAGAGGAACAGTTGGCAATGGCAGACGGAAAAGTTCCATGAATATGGTTAGAGTCTAACCAAAGAAATTGCAGATTTTGCAACTTTCCCAGTGAACCAGGAATTCCTCCACTCAACCTGTTGTAAGAGAGATTCATGAGTTGAAGCTGAGACTTTGATGAGAAATTAGCCGGAATATCGCCGGAGAAGGCATTATCAGATAGGTCTAAAAAACGTAGGGAGACGGAAAGCTGGTCCGGGATTTCTCCGGTGAATAGATTGTGGGCAAGGTTAAGAATTTGTAGGTTGGTGAGGTTGAGAAGCTGTCGAGGAAGGTGACCGGAGAGGCGGTTGTTGTGGAGGTAAACTGCGCGTAGGAAGAGGCATTGAGAGAGGGAGGGAGGGATGGAGGAGTTGAGATTGTTGGAGTGGAGGCTGAGTTTACGGAGTTGGAGGAGATTGGAGAGGGAGGGAGAGAGTTCACCGGCGAGCTGGAGACGGGGAAGACGGAGGTAGTGAACTCGGTTGTTGAGACAGACAATGCCGCGCCAGTCACAGGGTGCAGAGGGCGTGGAAGAGTCCCAGCCGTCGAGGGAACCCAGAGGGTCATGGAGGTTGCGCTTGAATGCTGTTAAGGCTTGAATCTCCGAAGCAGTGGTGTTCTGCGCAGTGGTTATGGTTATGGTTATGGTTAAGAAGGCGAAGAAAGCGACGAGTCTGAGGGTGAAAAATGTAACCGTTGTTGCCATTTGGAGGTGTGTGTTGTTGGAGAAGGTGTTGATGTTATTATTGGAATTGTGGTGGTGATGATGGTGGTGATTGTGAGAGGTTAAAGTGAGTTTTTAGGTTCAGGGGCTGACAGCATTTGTTTGTTTGGTAGTGCTGTGTTGTGTTTCTGTGTACTTTGGAGTTTGGAAAATAGAGAGAGGAGCGTTTGTTAGCTAGCCATGTTCCCCGCAAATGACAAGGCTTTAAGTTATATTATGAATGGCTTTGGTCGCCATTGCTATTTTATTCCTTAAATGGTTTGATTTGAAGGGTTTTTTTGAACCATGGTGTGTGGAGTGGTCTACCCTGTTACTGTTTGTTAGCTGTTTTCTGCACCTCACCTCGGACTCAATGCATTCACTTATTCATATCACACATTCTAAATGATATATATCATAATCTTATTTTATTCAAAATATTTACTTTCAATGTTTTGTTTTGAAAATAAAACAACTTAATACATTCATAATGTATTGCCGTTAATTTTTAATTGGAAAAGATGTAAACTTTTTAAAATTTTACGGGAAATGTTATCCAACGTTACTTTATATGAGTATTTATAATTTATGATATCGATGTAAGTTATAGTACTTCTTTTACTAATTAGTCAATAATTTCTTTTATAGACATACTAGTTAAAAAGTTAAAGAATCTGATTTAGATAATTTGAAATAGATATCACATAACTACTATTTTTAACTTAAAAACCTGTATGAATTATTGTATTTGTTTTCTATAGATGTAATCCACAGAATATTTTAAAGCTAGCTAGTAATGATTAATATAGGTTGAGAGAACGTCACTTCTACTGTCTTAATATTATTTTAACCACTAGGTAATATAGTTATTTAAAAACTAATTACTAGAGTTACAATAGAGACATTTTTTCTAAAATGATTTTTTTTTAATGTAATAAATTAAATCTTAAAAGTCATGAGTTTTGATAAATGATAATGTATAGATTAAGTATATTTATTCCATTTTTGGGTATATGAAAACAAAAATTAAAGTGCTTTTTAAGTATATACTGTTTTTAAACTATTTAGTTTGTTTTAAGTAATTGGATAATAAAAATTGTTAAAAGTACATTAATGATTAATTAAAAATATTTTCATTGATAAAAAAACTATAATAAGACCGGATATTTGATAACGTGATAAATGCATTCAAACTAAATAAAATACATCAATTTATTCAGATTTGTGCATTAATTTAAAACTTGAAACTGGTTAATTATAGGCATGAGTAGTTGTGATGAGAATAACATTTAATATTATGAATGGTGATGGAGAGTACCAAAATAGAAATGGTATCGTGAAGATATCAGTTAACATTCAATATCATGAATGAAAGAATGACATAGTAGGAGGTACAGGATTTTAGCTTCCATGCAACACGGTTTCGTGTGAAGGATTATATACTATGTTTCTTTTTTTTTAAAAATAAATTATGAAACAAATTTTTAGATAATTTTGTTATTAATACGAATAATCAAATTGTGGTTGACTAATATTTTGAAAACTTGAGGTTTTCCTCCTAATTGTATTTTTCATCAACAAGATGTAAAACATAAACTTTATCTAAAGAGACTGAGTTTAGTAAAATGAAAACTATAGGATTTACAAAATAATTTTGTATTTTACTTATATTTTCTTATCATTTGTAATTATCATCACTTAAGTTTACTTTATCTAATCGTAAATGTAAATTAAAATTACAATTTTATACTATGATTTAAGGTTTGTTCTCATGTAATATAAACTTCAACTGTCTATCTCTCTTGTTTTTAATTTCGAACATACTACTAGTTTTTATTTCTGCCATATTTTATTCTCAAATAAAAGCTTTAAATTTAGCTAATATTGTTACTATTTAAATTTTGATTACGATATGATATAAATAATGTGTATTGATTAAGATAAATAATTTTCATAATATCTTATTGTTTTTAAAAGTTTAACTTGTCAATGTATAATAAATTTATTAGTAAATTTTACTTTTCTTGCCACGGTTTATTTTTTATATCTGATGAATACTTATGAAAAAAAGTATTGTCTATTATTGAAATATAAAAATGCAGAAACAAAATTTATTTATTAAAAAATATTTAAATAGTTAAGTTCGTCTAAGTTATTAAAATTTAGTGTGTGAAATTAGATATTGATAAATGAAATAATAAATTTAATAAATAATAAATTTCCATAAAACAATTCAAATTCATAACTTTAACATCATATTAAAAGATAATTTTAAAATAATTTTAATTTTACAAAACTAATTTGTAAAATATTCATTTATATATTATAAATTAATTTTATTTTTAACTAATAAAAAAAATTTATATGAAAAACTTTTTTTTTCTACCTTTCACATTTAGTGTTGGTATTAAATTTGAAAAGGTAAAATAACATTTTTAAACCTAAAAAATAAATTAAAAGTTGTTAAAACAATGTATTCCTGAATCTTGTGTTTAAAATAATAAATGAGAATAGTTAAAAGTTGCTACAACTAACCTCTTAAAAACATTAATTTTTTAATTTCTTTTCATGAAATGTTTCTTCTTGTTCTTTTACAAAAATTTTCCAACTTTTGTTTAGCAAACACTAGTAAGTGTCTTTAAAAAAAAGTCAATAAAAGATGAGTTACACTTACTAAAAAAATACATTTTCCAGCAATAAAGAATGATTAACTATGTGTCTTTAAATTTCAATTTTTGAATATTAAATTAAAAAGCAGTGAGTCGATGTTCTGTTTAATGGAAATTATATAAATCAGTGTAAAATGAATGGGTTAAATTTATGTTGATTTTACAAAATAAGCAGAGTATGTTGAAGAGAGTATATGATAGATGGAAATATGAAATTGATGAAGATAGAAGGAAGAAGCGCGTGATCCGTAATCTGCAACATTACCAAACTTTTTTTTATTACGAGAATGCATATACTACATTAAGAGAAAGGTATCTCTTCATAAAGAAGAATGCATATACTATTATCCATTCTTCATTAATTTCAGGAGAAATTATCAACCTCACTTTGCTATCAAACCTTTTACGGTAGTTTTCTTTTGTATTGTGTGTTAGGTAATTAAAAAAGGTACAACATCACATCCACTTCAAAGATCCACACAAGAGTAATTTCAAACCCTAACTAACCATTCAACATTTTTAGGGCTACATTTGCTATTTGATATGTTATCATTTAATGCACAAAACTGTTTTTTAAATGATGATAGTTTGTGTAGTTCACATTTAAATAAAAAAATAATTTGGACCCTTCTTCAATAAAGGAAAGGAGTATGGTTTTGTGAGAAGTTGGTGGGTTGACTTTATTATGTATCCTCCAAATATAAGAGAGAAGAACTCAGACAAATAAAACAACATTTATAGTGAATCTTTGGACCACGTCTCTTTTATAAACAAAACAAACACTGTGAATATATTTGTAATTACTTTTACTTTTTAATGATAATTTTCTAAATATTCTAATCTTAATTCTGACATTTGATTAGACTATTTTAAAAGAACTAAAGGATTAGTAAAATTTAATACAACTGATTGATTTTCTTTACATTGAACTTAAAGGAAGGGGCTTCATGGTTCACCCACCAAATAGAGGGAGTTGGTTATTGGAGACTTGTATCATAAATGGGTGTAGAGGGTAGCCAGCATTGTAATATCAATCAACCCATTTTAGCTGTGAACACAATAAGTACAGTTGTTATATTAGCATGTCCTTATTAGAAGATGAAAATAACTACTATATTAAATTTACAAGAAATAGAAGTGCTGAAAGCTGATATTTCAATAATTAGTAAATAATCTCACCCAAGAATGAAAGACAACTCAAAGACACTAATGCACAATGATGATACAAATATTTTTAGAAGAATATCCAAAGCGGCTACAACAAAATAAGTTTATGATATATTGGTTATAAAGAGAAAACAAAGAAAGTGAAATTATTGGTTCAAACATTATTATTATGCCAAAATTTATAATTATTTGTTGAAATATTTTTTTTTCTAGTTAAAAACATAATAATTTAAATGTCACCATTCCATTATAATATAATTTATGGGAGAACTTGTGATAATCCAAAATTCTTATTTTTCAAAAGCTTCATTCTTCTCTCCAACTTTAGTTCTCTACAAAATTTTTATTTTTTCTCTCAAATTTCTTATTTAGTTATAGTTTAAAAATTCTAACTCAAAGTCAATTTCTCTAAACGGTGAGTTCACATTTCAATTCCTTATCAGTAGAGTAATTTGTTGTTTCTTAAATCCAAGTGTATATTTATACCCTCATTTAACCTTTAATCTTGGATTTTTAATTGATTTTTATCCTTTGAACATTTATTTTAATTAGAATTTGTTATAATTGTGTTTATGAAGCATGAGATATAATAATATGTTAAAGATAATTTTTTAGTTGCATAAATGTTCTTTCTATATTTTGAGGTATGTCACTATAATTGTACCTAAGTCGACCTTATAAAGGTATGAAAATAAATTATTTAAGACTTCATGACATCTTAAAGATAAATCCAAAAAATAACAAATCATCATAACCACAAAAAATTCAAGTCAAACATTGTATGAAGAAGACAAATATGAAAAAGTGAAAGATTTTGGCTAAGTTAGGAAGAGAAAATGACCAACAAAAACTGAACCTATTTTCTTCCATAAAAAAGGCTTTGATAATTTAAGAATATTTATGATGCCATATAAATTTACCTTTGAATTGAGTATTGTTATGTTGTCAAATTTGTGTCATACCTTTAAACTTAGGTCACCAAGGTTACAACTTCTAGGTTTCTCTAGTCACCCTTCTTCTTGAGTTGACCAAACCTCTCTTGAGAGCACACCAAACACCACTGTTTGAGTCATATATCTTGGAAGATGAGTCACTCTTTCACCACATAAAACCCATTATATATGCAAAATATTTCCACCACCATCAAACTTACGCAACTACCAACCCATTTGGAAGTCTCCACCTTGCTTAAGTCATATATCTTAGATGAGCTTATACCATCATTTGATATCAAACCATAATTATTAAGTACCACTAGAACAATCATGACAATGAATCATTGACTCTTTGTGGCTATGGGCGGTAGTTTGTGAAAAATTTTCTTATTAGAAGTGATTTATAAAGTGGTATGTAGTTATTCTTTACCTTTCACATTTTGTAATTGTAGTATATTGGGTTATAGTTGTTAATAAGGAATGTTTGTGAAATTTT